AGATCCTGGTTGGCTTCCTCATATTCTTTCAGAAGAATCGTATACAGCAGCCTAAATATTACAGTTTCACAGCTCTTAAGTTGTAACAGCACCCGGAAGAGGTGACTCCCAAGAGGCTGACACCATGGGCCACGCTCAGGGCGGCCAGTGGCTGCTCTCGCTGCCCAGCGTGAGCCCCACTCTGACTGCGCGTCCCAGCTCCTGGGCTGTGTGGGTGCACCAGCACTTCCCTCCCCAGGTTCCCTCTCCAGGGTGTGTGGGCGGGGCAGACTCCTGTGGGAGCCCCCTCCAGTCCCCAGGAGCCGTTCGCTGCTGGAGCTGAGTCGGGGGGTGGGATTCGGCAAATTAGGAGGCGTTTAAGAATTAGCCGGTCTTTTCCACACCGCCTGCCCCACCGAACTCTGGTTCTTTGGAGCCTGGAGACAGCTAGCTGGGGGGCCTCTGTCTGCTTTCGCCAGACAGTGCTCTAGCCGGTGCTGTCAATGCACTGCTATAGCCGCAGTGTTTATCCTAGGTTCATTTTAGGCATTTAGTTAACATTTAGGTCTTTTTTTCTTTTTTACTATTTGGAATAATGATAATTTACAAAAGGTATATATTCTCAGAATCTTCTGGTTCCATAACCTTGCTCTCAATTTGCTATTTGACCTGTACTGATTCTCCTGAAAAGTAAAGAGAAATGGGGTGAGAAATACTTTTAAAAATCTGTTTCTAAACCAGGTGTGGTGGAACATGCCTATAATCCCAGCACTGGGGAGGCTAAGGCAGGAGGATCACCATGAGTGTGATGCCAGCCTGGGCTACATAAGTGAGTTCAAGGCCCGTACTACTTAGAAAAACCCAGTCTCCAAAATAAATAAATAAAATAAAGTCTGTTTTGAGAGAGATGTCTGTGGGATTTTTCTAAGAAAGTTTTCATAATAATTTTTGAAGTCTTGGTGATACAGAGTTCCCCTAAAGGTGTGTTTAATATTGATTAGACCATAAATGGTCATGTATCTATTAATATGAATCAACAGGAGATAGTCATCTTCTTTGGTCTTCTAGAATGTTCTGCAGAATGCAGTTGTTGTTCAGGAGCTGAGCTGAATTTCCTGCTATAAAGGGGTCAGAGAACAGTGTGACTCTAAGAGATTAGAAAGAACACTTTTCATGTCTTTGATCCTGGAAGTAAAACAGACAGGAACTTCCTGGTAACTGTTAACTTAGGGTACTTTACTTTTCATGTGGAGGTTGCAGTCACATCAGGTTCCAAAGAGTCTTCAAGCCTGAAGACATCAGCTAATTTCCATCGATGACGTCTTAGTTTTTTGTCACTTTACTTAACTCTGAGCTGCAGTAAGCTGGGAAGGAGCCAGTTTTGTGGTGCCTGAGGCAAAAAAAAAAAAAGAAACCCAGGGAAAGTGTGAATGTGAGCAAGCAGGAGAACACAGAACCTCCTTCCACTGTGTGATGTTAAAGCATCATTTCAGCCCCAGAGTAAGTTTGAGTACATCTGTCTTTCCTTAAAAATCACTCTTACATCTTCAGAATGGGTAACAATGTGAAGGAGAAACAGAAACCAGCACCCCCAAACAAGCTGTTTCCTGATTACTTTTGCTGTAATGGTTGAGTCTGAGTGCAGATGAATACTGCGCATGCTGACCGTCTGCGTCCAATGGATAAGGCGTTCGTGCTGTTCAATCTTGATTGTTAACTTGGACTAAGAGACTACAGGGGAGGTAATTAGATCGTGAGGTCTCTAATCTCATGGATGGGTTGACCCACTGTCAAGTTCATAGCATGAGGGGTGTGGGGGCCCCGTTGGAGGAAGTGAGTCATGCAGACAGGACCCTGGGGACTAGATCTGGTGCCCAGCCCTTGCCTCTCCAGCTTTCCCACGCCATGAGGTGAGCAGCTTTGCTCTGCCTCACCCTTCTGCCGAGATGTTTCTGCCTTGGGGCCGTTGGATCATGGACTAAACCTCTGGAACCGTGAGCCGAAATAAACCTCTCTGCCTTTGAATTGCGAGTGTCGGTGTTTCGTCCCAGTGACAGAAAGCTGACAGTACAGCATTTTACTGGCTGGGTGTGCTGACTGTTGCGTTCCGTGTTTGCTTTCTCTAGAAGCGCCCTTCTGCTTCAGGATGGGGCCCCGGCCCCTGCCCCGCTTCCTGTGAACAAGCCAGCACCTGAGGTTCCTGTGGGGATGCCTGTCTACCACCACCAGTCGGACTCTCTCGAGATGGACTCTGACATGTCACCCAGCTGCAGACGCAGTGACTTGAGCAGAGGAGGGAGTCTGGAGAGCCGGAGCAGCAGCTCTCGGTCCAGAAGTTTCACTTTGGTGAGTGATGGTTTTCTTTAATGCTTTTCTGTTATTTGGTTGGTTGACTTTGCCACAGCACTTCTCTCCTTTAAGGAATATCTTACCAAATCCTTTTGTGTTAATAATTAGCTCGATGTTTTTGGAACACTTGTTTGTGAAATGGCATTTGTCTTTTAATTATCTTGAATTTTGCACAAACACCAGCATTACCAATAGCAGTGGAGTGCCTCTCCAGCCATAGCCAGAAACGTAGGGCAGCTGAGCACCAGAAGGAGCCAGACCCGAAGGCAGAGAGCAACCCAGGCAGGAACACTGCTGCCTTTGAGTTCAGATGACTGAAAGAAGAGAAATATCTCAATGGATAAAAACAATTCACTTGAAAACATATTATCCACTTTACAAATCCTTTTCTTTCAGAGTTTAGACTAGCGATGGCAAATCTTTTAGAGACAGCTACCCAAACTGCAACCCAAAACCCCCTTATTTATCCCAAAGTGCCAACACTGCAGTTAAACCTAGATACTGAGGTTTTAGTTTAGAAAAAATATAACTCATACATTAACATCTTTTGTCTTAAAAGCATGCCATCGGTTCACCAGCACTGGCCTAGATGCTTGCATAGCATTAACTAGCTGGGGGATTTTACGGTCTTTGGCTGTAAAGAGGTCAGCTTCTGCGAACCCCTCACTCCAGGATACTCATCTCCCGGAGAGAGACGTTGCGTTCACAGAAGCAATGCGGAGAGAGCCGACCCGCACAGCCCAGTGACCGCGTGTGGCGCAGTCCAGGCCGGCCTCTGCTGTGGGAGCAGCGGTGACAGTTCCAGCAGCTCCTGCTTGGTATTTTCTTTTTAAAGCCATTGTAGTAGTATCTAATAAATATTATTTGATTGGTTCACCAAAAGGAAAATATATAACATTATCCTCTGAATATCTCAGAAACTAAAAATACGTAAGAATGGACAGTTTAAAACGAATTTTTTATGCTGGGTACAGAGGGGCACAGCTGCAAATCCCAGCCCCCCGAGAGGCTGAGAGGCAGGAGGAGGGTCACAACTTTGAGGCCAGCCTGGGCAGCATAGCAAGGCGCTGTCTCAAACACACACAAAAACCTCCCCCAAATCCAGCTTTTTAACTCTCAAAAATAATATAAAGAACATTAAATGGTATATTATAGACTATACAGAAAACGTAGATTAATGTTCCAGTCATCTGTGGCATAGATTCTCCAAAACATAATGAAAAACCACACCTGCTCTGACGTTAAAAGATACTTCAGTCCAGGCGTGGTGGCCCACTCCCATAACCCCGGCACTGGGGAGGCTGCGGCAGAGAAGATCAATGCGAGTTCAAGGTCAGCCTGGGCTACAAAGTGAGTTCAAGGACAGGCTGAACCGCATATTGAAACCTTGTCGCAAAAAGACAAAAAAAAAGATATTTCAAAACGTGATGGCGCTAATTCAGGCACAGTCCTCCAGAAGACTGTTTTGTACATATGGTGATGAAACAGAATTGGAAACGTTTGTCAGATGACCTTGGTCTCTAAGTGACTATGCACAGAGAACCAGGCACAGGCCGATGAGATACGGTCTGCAGCATGGCCCACTGTCAAGACGCCATACGTACATCTTCAGAGACGCCTGTTGGAAAGGAGGTCCGTACAGTTTCAGCTCCAGAGTCACACGGCGAAGTGGTTTAGCCTAGGCCTTTTTGTCATGACTTTTTTAATAATATAAGAAAGAGCATTCAGTTGAAGATGGGAAAGACCACAGATGTCTTCCATTAGTGCCCATCACAAGGTCGGGGGTGAAGTGAGAACAGCGCTGTGCTGAGTGGAGCTTCTGGCCGTTGTGCAGAGTTACTTTGAGCTTTTGGCCTCGGGCTGCGTGGCTTTTACTGTGGGCCGAGTTCAATGGCATCAGAGGAGCACCTCCCGGATCTAAAACAGGCCCTCGTATGCTTTAAAGTTGCTTTCTTTACCGACAGCCAGCATCCCGAAATGAGCTCAGAGCAGGAAACAGCACAAGGACGCTGAAGACAGCCTGCGGTGCTTACCCAGATCTGAGGGCAGGAGCCATCCCTGCCAGCTGTACTTTCCATGTTAGGCAAGAAAGGGGGCGGCGGGGTGACCCCGTCCCGAGGGCCACTGTGAGGCTGAACCCCCGGCACCAGTGCCTCCCTCCAGCTTTCCTTTCTCAGGTCCGCCTCGCCGCACGCTTCTCTGCAGTCTCTTTCCTGTATCAGTTGTGTCCGACACCATTTTTCTCTGACTACTAAAGATAACGTGGTAAAAGGGAAGTACTTCCTGTGGCCACCCTAATCATTAACATTGTTCTAAGAGGACAGTGTATTTAGAGTCCTTATTTCTCAAAGGGGTAATTGTGAGCTAGGCGTGGTGGTGTTCGCCTGTAATTCTGGCATTCTGGGAGGCTGAGGCAGGAGGATTGACGTTTAGTGACTTAGCAAAACCTTGTCTCAAAATTTTTTAAAACAATTCTAAAAACTGTGGAAAAAAAAAAAACTGTGAATGTAGCTCAGTGAAAAGCCCTTCAATTCCTACTTCCACCAAGAAAATAAGTGTAGAGGGCAGTAACTGTGTTTGTGGGCTTTTAACTTTTGCTTTTCTTTAAACGTTTCTTCTTCTAAACATTTTTTTAAAAAGCTATAACTGGAACTGGAACCAGTTGGCCAAATCTTAGAATACCTGCGGATGTGTTTACCTTTGAAATTTGAAAGGGAGACCTTCAGTACAAATACAAGGCACATTTCTTTACAAAGCTGGTGTGTGGTTGCAGAATGATGCCCTAAGAGGGGATGCAAACCCAGAGGTTCGAGAAGAATTGAGAGGCATTCACAGACGATGGCCGTAGTGCTGCCGAGGGCAGCTTTGACGTGAGGCCATCCGTACCAGTGCGTAACGGCTTATGTCAGGTACACATGCCGTTTCCTAAATTAGTGTGATGGGCACTAATGGAGCCACTGCGGGGCAGAATGCCATCTTCTGCCAGAAGCTCAGATCCTTGCTGTCACTGTGTTCCTGAATTGCCCTCCCTCCTCTTCCTGGAGCCTCCTCTGGAAAGTAACGTGCTCCGGCTGGCTGGTGGACTGAGCAGCTCCTCATACTTACACTTCATTCCTAAGGAATTTAACTCAGATGTTACGTCTACCTTGAGGGTCGCGTGGGGACATCCTGACCACACTTCCTGTTCATCTTTATCTCTGACACAGGCAGGAACCGTGATCCACGTTTGCTGGTGAATTTTGAGGTGATGTAATATTCATTTAACTATCTTAACCACACTCCCCACCCTCGGTTCTCCCTAAGCTGATGAGTGCTGCAGCTCTAAGGGCGTCTCTTTAACTGCCCTTCTCTCTCCAGGACACCTCACGTCTGCTTGCCTTGCCGTCCAGCCCTAGAACAAGGAGGCAGAGCAGGCGGTAGGGATGGTTTCCGCATGGCTAGCTTAGGCTGTAGTCCAGTGTGGACTGGGAATTTGATATGCCCTCGCCCTGTGATTTGAGGAGGAGAAAAGCAGGGGAATAAGAGTGGAGAAGCCGACTCGTCAGTAAGTAACTCTCTCCTCCCGGGGATGCCTTGGACCCAGCATTGGACGCAGGGCTGGAGCAGAAACTGTCCTGGTTAAAATAACAATTTAAGACATGACTAAGTAGCTTCTGGGAAGACTTAATTCAGTAAACCTTAGTAAATACCTGCTCTGTACAAGAACTGAGTAAATCCCAGCGTAAGCTTTTTCAGGAACTCACAGTTTGACTAGCAAGGCAGACCTGTAGAGCCAGGACAGAGCAGCACGGCTTGTAAGAAGACTCCGCACCTGTAATGTCACACGGGTGAGGTGTTTTTGCCCTAAGCAAGGTCTCTTTGCGAGAGAGCATCTGGGGTGGGGTGTATCTCGTATCTCGGTAGGAGAGCGCCTGTCCTTATGGGTGCGGGAGGGAGCAGGGAGATCAACCAAGAAAGGGGTGAGAGACCTGCTCTGCGTTGCCAGTTTAAGAACGTGTAAGGCAGCCAGGGAACCCAGTGTACCCTTGAAGCCATTCTCAGTTATGTAATCCAGACTGCACACGTAGCTCCTTCCTCGCTGCTTTGTTTATGTCCTTTCCTGCCAGAAGTATAGGTTTAAGTTAGCAATCGTGCCAAATTACAGTAGTGCCTCGTTAGAAATAACTGTAATTAAATCTTTACTCGGACACTGTGGGAAATGCCATGTACACTTATATGGTCTTTCTTTTGGGGTTACCAAAGTAAGCCAGGTGTATGAAGCCATGTGAAAAGAGGCTTAGCTATATTTCCTTCTCTCTAGCTTTATTCCGTTTCGGCTTTTAGGAGGTGACCTCTCATCAACTTAAGATTATTAAAGCATTGCTCAGATGTCAAGGAGATCGTTTTGGTGTCTGTAAGAGCCTGTGAACCTCAGACCATACTCTGCAAAACAGCAGATACCCTGGCCAGTGACCTGGCACTCAGGGATGCGGTGGGGAGGGGAAGAAGTGCTGGTGCCTGGCTCGTCTCAAGAGGTTGTTTTAGTCATTATCATTTGTGTAATTTTGAGGAGGAGCTAGAATACAGCTAAGTTTTGCGGGTTCCTTGTTTCAGTCTCTCACTAGAAGTTACCACTTCTGTCTCCGTCTGTGGTTACACTGAGGGTCTTTGTTTAAAAGAAGCGTCCTAGGAACTTAATGACCGGGGCAACAGTGAGGAGCTTTGGTTAGGAAGGGTTACTCCAGCGAGTGTATTTAAAGTCTTGTCAAGTCTCTTGTTCAGCCAAGGGTTTCTAGTGTTTGGCCTTTTTCTTTTCTCTGTACTACAAAAGTACCTCCAGGTACCCAAATCTGTATCCGTGCGGGTTTTCCAGAGAAACAGATACAACACAAGATGCACAGACGTACAAGAAATGACAAGTTTGGCTTGCAGTGCCCAGCCACAGGGTTGGGTGAGGAAGCGCGGAGGGTGTCGGCACGCTGCAGATGGAAGAGCCCAGCCCCGGGCTTTGAGGGAACGTCCAGATGGAAACCAGAGTAGCTCTTGTGCCTCTTTTCCGGCCCTGAAGCACCATGAGCCCTGAGCCTGGGCCTGGGGTTTGGCTCCCTTTCTGGCTTCTTTCCACTCCCAGGTGCACAGAGAATCGGGGTTCCTGGGAAAGGAGGTTCGCATCGGGGCCGTGGCAGCAAACTGAGCCCCTAGTACTGTTGGTCTTGCACCCAAGTGCAGGGCTCCTGACCAGGCCCATAGAAGGCTCCGGTGTACATTCTGGTCATCCCACGCGGATGAAACCTGGAGAAACCCCTCGGCTTGCGAAGGCAAGGCTGCTAGGAGCCTGGAGCCCAGGGTCCTGCTCACTGACCAGCCTGCCTGAAATGGGTTTGTGTCTCATGTGCAGGTGAGAAGTGAGCAGCAGTAGGAAGGAGCTTGGGAATAAAACTAAAATGAGAAACCCGGGATACAGTGCCCCAGACTGCACAGCCATCCAAGCAGGATCAGTGCTCCTCAGTAGTCTGTGATCAGAAGAGAAATAAGAGCAAAACGTGCTCGCCTCGGCTGCACAGGTACGAAGACCTAGACAAAAGGCACGTTTAGAATTTGCTTGGTTTCGGCCCCTCATGAAGTGCATGTGTGGCCCCTGGAAAGTCATTGCGTAACTCTGAGACTAGTTTTCACACCCTCAGGTAGGGGAGCTGGATGGACTGACGTGTGCTGTGCGCCTCTCAGCAGTGCACAGGGTACAGATAGGTGGGTAGGAGCCCCCCGCCAAGCTTTTGTTTTGTTTTGTTTTGTCTTTTTGAGACAGAATCTCACCAGTTCAGGCTGGCCTTGAGCTGACTTTGTAGCCCAGGCTGGTCTCGAACTTGGCCAACAATCCTCCTGCCTCAGCCTCCTGAGTGCTGGGATTACGGGTGTGCGCCACCATGCCCAGCCCCCCTCCCCATGTTGGGACTGCGTGTTTCTGAGGTTGGATTTTTTTTCTGGGTGCCAGGAATAGAACTCAGGACCAGCAGACACTGTGCCACTGAGCCATGTCCCTGGCCCCTGGCATGGATTTTATACAGTTGTTACTGTGTCCTTCCCTTAGTGCAGGGAGCTGGCATATGTCTAAACTGAAGGTTCATGTTAAGCCAGCACTGCAGTGTCTCAGCTTACGTTACACTGCTGTGCCGGGGCCCACCCCAGCTTGAACGAGGCAAGAAGACCGCTGAGTGCAGGCAGGTCAGGCCAGTGCCCTTAATTCTGTTGTTTGTGTATCGAAAGGAAAATTGCTATACCTAACCAAAACAGAGTATCTTAAAAAGTCACGAGCGACCCAACTGAAGCATTGCATGAGGAAGGTCACGGTAGAGGAGAAAAGGAGAGGGTGAGCATTGATTTATTCTCCTAGAATTTTATTCCAATAAAAAAGCCACTGCTGAGGCTTTTTATTATTATTATTACTGAAGATTTAACTGAGGGCCTTCACACCGAGCTGCATCCCCAGCCATCTGCCTGTTTAAATTTGAGACAAGGTCTTGCTGAGTCACTAAGTGCCCAGGCAGGGCTTGCCCCTGCAGTCCTCTTGTGCCGTCAAGCCCTCTGAGACTTCTGAAATGCTTGTTACCGCTGCAGTGCCATCCTAACAACTTGCACAGTAGTTGTATCGTTCACTCAGGGAACGCTTGCTATGCGAAGAGCCCGCATGCTTTTGGATTTAAAGGGCTTCTTGCTGAATTACTGAGGAGACCGCTCTGTGTGGGTAGAAGGATGTGAACTGTCTGGGGGTGGCTAAAGAGCAGGAGGTGTTTAATCCAGCAAGAAGAGATGTGGAGAAAAGATGAGGCAGTAATGCTTTATGCCTCTGATGACCCATGCCAGACTGACAACTGCTGGTCAGCTTGTAACCCCCAGCTGAACTGAACCAGCGTGGTGCTGGGTGTGGGAGTTCCACCTGAGGATGGGTGCCGGCAGCATAAGAGGCAGGCCTGGAGAAGAGAAGCTGTCGGAAGCTGTAAGGAGCTGTTGCTTCTTTTGGAAGAGCTTGTCGTGCTGGCTTTCCTCATGAATTCGGCTGTTCTCATCGTCAAAGGTCCTCAGGACCTCATCGCTGAGAATGGCTATGGTGCACTTTGGGGAAGCTCTGGTCCTCACTTTGAGCATCGCTTCCTGGCTCTGGAGGGGAAGATGGTGCACTGCTCAGTCTCCTGGAGAAGCTTGTTGCGTTAGCTTTCCTGATGGTTACACAGCTTTCCTCATCATGAGAGGAGCTCGGGACCTCACTGTTGCTGAGGACGACTGTGGTACTTTTGGTTCTTACTTTGAGCTCTGGTCTTCCTTTGTGCGTCGCTTCCTGGCTCCAGTTCAGATCCCTCAGCCTGCTGGCACAGATCCCTTTATCCCCCGGCACATTTCTAGCTTCTACCCTTGACCTTTGGGTCTTCCCAGCGCAGATCTGTGAAACAGTCCAGTATCATGAGATACTGTTATGAGCTCTAGGTCTTCAGCTGGACTCAAGCAGGACATTACCATGGGATCCAGGCCCTCAGCTGGATTCTTTGGTTTTTGGTGTGTGGACAGATCTCCTGCACTATCTTTGTATATGATTCTTTGGGTGACTTTTAGAAATAATCTTATAAAATATGTGTCCTGTATTATATTGTTCACCGTTGAAAACTCCACCCTGCAACATGACCCCACCAATTTTCAGTATAGTATTAAAAAAATTCACAAAATGAATCAAGACAGACACACGTGATGGAGAGGTGACTGGCATGTTGGTTACAGTAATTACCTACCGGGTGCAATACACCCTCTAACGGGGAAAATTCGAAGATCTATCAGACATAACGCTTTTAAATGCAACGTCTCCTTGAGGTGGGAAGCATGAATGATGAATAACTATAGTAAAAAATAGAATTTTTTACTATATCCTAAGGAATCAGTTCTGCTTCATAGATGTCTCTCAAATCCATCTCTCTTCTCATCACTGCTACTCTGGTACCTTTGTGCTCTTGTCTACACTGTCTTGCACAGTCTGTGTTTTCCACATTACAGCCACTGTGATCTTTCTAGCACACATACATAGCTGTGCTATGTTGCTTTTTGGCTCGCTCTCTCTCTCTCTCACATACACGCACACACGTTTTTTTCCTAAACCATTTTAAGGTGGTTGCGACCTCTTGCCTCCCTCAACATTGAAATCTGTACATCCTAAGTACAAAGGTTTCTCTTATGTGACCACAGTGCAGTTATCATACTCTGACTCTTCATCTCTTGCATGGGACCTGCCTCATTACTGTGGGAAACTTTGAGGATCTTTCCCTGGGTTTTCAGTATATTGAAATTTCTCAAGATGTGCTTGAGTGGGAATCTGTTTTGTTTGTATTCATTAAATTGGCCTTTTTTTTTTTTCCAGAAAATTTGGGAATTTGTGTACTTCTCTTAGTGGTATTTCTTATTTTGTTCATTTTGATAATTTCTTCTCTTTCTTTGATTTCTCAAAGAAATTTTAGGACTAGAAATTTCTAGGACTTCATTATTCAGATGTTGGCTCTCCCAGACTTATTCTCTAATTTTCTTCTGTTTTTTGTTGCTGTGTTCTAATTTCTCAAGATTATCTCAAAACTTTTCCTTTTTCAATTTTCTACTGTTATATTTGTTTCAAAGAGCCTTTGTCCTTCAGCTTTTTTTAACAGCATCATGTCTATGGATTCAGTCTCTCTTCATCTCTGAGGACATTGGTGATGATAACCTTTTTGAAGTTTTCATTACTGGTAGTTTGTTTCTTGTAAGTTCCTTCTAAAAATATCTTCTCTATGTTTAAATACCTCTTCAGCGGAAGAGTAGGGCATTGCGCTGATGAAGAATCCTACCCTGGACCTGCCTGTACTCACGTTTAGAGAGGTGGTGTTGAGCTGTTACCTCAGGGAGTCTTGGGATCAGTTGTTTTGGGTTCTTGGACTTTTCCGATTCCCTAAAACGGCTCACATCCTCTGCCACCTGGGTCAGTTTGGCTTCATTTACTCTTCCCACTTTCAGTGTGGTTCCTGACGTCACCACCCGGCTTCATGGCCCACATTTGAAAGTTTCCCTTTCACCTTTTCTAAAGGTGAGCGCCTCACCTCCTGCTGCAGCAGCCTGATTGCTCCTGAAAGAGACTTCCTGCCAGCTCTGCTCTCTGCAGCCTGGCCCTGACGTTCCCGGCGGGTAAGGGAGGCTCTCAGCACACCAGAGCCGGCCCCAGCGGGCAGCACACAGCAGGTGGGCACTGGCCCTCTGAGCTGCTGGCCGGAAACTCGCCTCTCTCACCACTGTCGGTCCTTCTGCTCTTCGGCTTCCTTTATTTTGCTGGCATCACCTCTCTTCCTGTTGCTTTTGTCCTTGTGACTTATGCCTATTAAAACAAACAACTCCCTTTCCTGTCTTAATAGGGTTTCTGGAGAGAGGGGAATTCTACCTGTGAGTTCAGTCCTCTCATCTTTGATCAGAAGTTTCCCCTTCTTAATTTGAAAAGAGAAGTGCGTCTGACAGCAGTGAGTTGCAAACAGCTTCCACCAAGAGCGAGTGAAGGGGGCTGCTCTGTTGTGCTGACCCACTAGGAACACGCTAGCGCCTGCAGGAGGTCTCAGGCCCTGCGCCTTTTACACCTTTTTGACAGTATTTGTGCAGGCAAAATGGCGGGGACGATGCGTGCAACCAGCAAGTGGCAGGGAATGCCCAGGGTGCCGTGATCTTTGCTCGGGGCTAGACGCCGACCCCCACTTTGGTACGGCCTTCTCTGCAGTGACACCCCTGCAGATCTCCCTAATTCCCAGCCCCAACCCTCTCTTACAGGATGATGAAAGCCTCAAGTACCTCACACATGAGGAAAAAGATGTCATCCTGTTCTTTGAAGAGACTCTGGGTTCCCTGGAAGATGACTTGGACGAGCCAGTGTGTGACAGCGGCATTCACTGCCAGTCTCCAACGTCCCTGGAAGACAGCCCGTCCAGTCACTCCGAGCCTGAAGATGTCATCGATTTAGTGCAGCCTGGACCTGCAGCTGGGGACGTGGGGTGCCTTCCCGACCCGTCTCAGATCGCAGGTGAAGGGGTCAAGCCCAGGTCCTGGGGCTGGGACCTGATTTGCTGGTGTGTCCAGGACACAGAGGCTCTTTCTGCTGTGTCCTCCTGTGTTTGCCGGTAGAGCAGCTACTGGCAGTATCTATGCTTCCATAGAAAAACAACCCTCTTGGTCATTTGATTGTCTACAGGGGAATTTCCAAATGAGTCAGGTACAGAATGAGACCATCAGAGCATATAACTAGGTTTTGTATACTTACATGTGTGTGTGGAAAGCACACTAGAAGTGGCTTCTAGCCGGGCATGGTGGCACACACCTGTAATCCCAGCACTCAGGAGGCTGAGGCAGGAGGATTGTTGTGAGTTCGAGACCAGCCTGGGTTACAAAGTGAGCTCAAGGCCAGCCTGAACTGCATAGTCAGACCGTCTCAAAAAGGCAAAAAAAAAAAAAAAAAGTGGCTTCCAAGTCACACATCTGTTCTTCAAGAAAACATACAGGGCACTTTTGTATTTCAGAGCAAGATTATACCCCAGTTCGGTCACATTACTTTCCACCGTGGAGGCATTTGAACAGAGAGTCAGCTGGTTCAAAAGATCAAAACAGAAATTCAGGCAGCATCTACTTTCCACATGTCACTTGGCTCTGAGTGGCATCACATAGATAAGCTTCTGTCCATTGGATCCTGTGAGAGAAACAAAGGGATGTGCACGGAGACAAACTCCTTCCAATTTCTTTTCCTGGTTAGAAAAGATACTGAAAAAAAAAGTGGGAAAGAACATAACAATAAAAGGATAAGGAAAAATAAGAAGGAAAAGGTTTTTGTTTTGTTTTTTGGGGTTTTTTGCAATACCTTGGTGCCTCGGTTCATGAACTTGATTGTTTCCATGATTCCAGTCGCAAACCGAGTTGATCTCAAACTGCATCAGATTTCCCTATCAAGTCAACACTGAACCTAACAGTTGAATTTGATTTGGTTCATGACCAGTTTCATTTGTAACAATAGTGGAAAGAATTAAGTTTGTGACTGAGGTACCACTGTCTAGGAATTGAACCCAGGGCCTTTGCACTGAACTACATCCCTTTTTTCATTTTTTATTTTGAGACAAGCATTCACTAAGTTGCTATGTTACCCAGGCTCAGGTCACACTTCTAATTTCCTGCCTTAACCTGTCAGCAGGATAGGATTATGGGTGCGTGCCACCATGCCTGACTTGAGGGAGACCCTTTTGTTTGAGTAACTGTAAAATATTGTCTTGTGTCGTAAACCTCCAGAAATATGTGTTTTAAGGTAATATTTACTGTATTATTCAGAATTTCACATCCTATAGTGATAGGTTCCATATAAAATGGAGGTTGGTTTATAGCCAGAGAAGAGGCGATATGAATTTGGCTTTTTTAAATTACACTTTTACTTTGAAATATCATTCTTAAAAGTAATTTGGTCGGGCGTGGTGGCGCATGCTTGTAATCCCAGCACTTGGGAGGCTGAGCCAGGAGGATCCCTGTGAGTTTGAGACCAGCCTGGGCTATAAAGTGAGCTCAAGGCCAGCCTGAACTACATAAAGAGACCCTGTCTCAAAAAGAAAAGAATAAAGGTAATTTGAACCGGCAGACCCTTTAAAAATGCCAGCTCATACAATTGTGCCAAAGAGAACACCTCTCACAGCGTCCTCCAGTTCTCTCTCATGCCATTTACGTAGCAACTGCATAAGCATCTAAAGATACAGGGTAAAAGACGCGGCGAAGCTATAGCTCTGTACAGGAGACAGCGCAGAGAAGTACAGGTAGTCTGCCAGTCGGTGAGGACGGCGAGTGCCGCGTGGGGTTGTCAGGAAGCGCACAGCCCGAGTCGGTCCTCGAGGAGCAGCTGTTGGACTGCTGGGGTGCGCCGCTCAGCTGCCTGTGTCCGCGCCCCGTGGAAAGCCGCCGATGAGGCGGTCATGGTTTGCCGCCGTGCACCTTTGCTAAGATGCTGCAGCCTCGGAAGCACGCCTTCACGGCCTCCGTCCTCCACGCGGGCCGCCGTTCCGACTCGGGTCTCCAGTCCCGGCTCTGCTCGCTGCGTCCTGAGCGGCGCGGGCGGCCTCTCCCGGGGGTGCGGTGGAGTCGGCGCATGCGCCCTGGCGGTGCCGTGCACCCGCGGGCGGGAATTAACGCGCGGGTTTCTCCAGGAGATGGAACTCACGCGATCTCTCCCTCTCCGCAGGGGCTGCGCCTGTGGAGGAGGACGACGCCGACCTG